TACGGACAAGCTTTAGCAGATCGTCCCCCAGACACTCTCGCTGAAAAACATAAAATACGTCTATAGACGTCTTTGGCAGCGAACGGTTGTATTTGAATTGACGTCTATAGATGTCTTTGGCAGCCAATGAGTTAAGCGGGATGTGTGCGTTCCCCTTTAGCTGGTGGACACCACGGTGGAGCTGGCTAACAAAGTGGGCGCGGCAGAGATCATCTCGCGCATCGTGGACGACCTGAAGGACGAGGCGGAGCAGTACCGGAAGATGGTGATGGAAACCATCGAGAAGATCATGGGAAACCTGGGCGCCGCCGACATCGACCACAAGCTGGAGGAGCAGCTCATCGACGGCATCCTGTACGCCTTCCAGGAGCAGACCACTGAGGTGGGTCTAACCCTGACCCTAATCCTAAACCTAACCCTAACCCGACCCCCCCCGAGCCTAAACCTCCCACTAAACCTAAGCCTAATCCTTCCAGGAGCAGACCACTGAGGTGGGCCTAAACCTGACCCTAATCCTAAACCTGGCCCTGATCCTAACTCTGATCCTAAACCTAACCATGATCCTAAACCTAACCCTGATCCTAAACCTGACTCTGATCCTAAACCTGACCCTAAACCTTACTCTGACCCTAATCCTGACCCTAACCATAAACCTAATCCTGACCCTAACCCTGACCCTAACCGTAAACCTTACTCTAACCCTAACCCCAACCCCCCTGACCCTAAACTTAACCATAACCCTAACTCTAACTCTAACCCTAACCCTTTATAATTGTGAGAAATAAATATTTTTGGGTTAAATTTGTTTGGACTTATTGTACAAACCTATTTAACATCCACTATTTTAACATAATATTATGGATAGAGTTTAATTCCGTGTTTGCAAGATTAATTTAACTATTTTTAAATTAACGTCTATCTTGCCATGAAGCAATTACCATTTTCCTATTGGTGACCTAATCAAAATGGCTGACTTGGATGTGGGGGAGTTGGTTTTCCTCCTTGGCTTCCTGCAGACTTGATTAATGTTGTCGTGTTATTATTAGCCATTAGCCGCAGATAGCAATTCAAGGCTAACGTCATGCTAGCAATTCAAGGCTAACGTCACGTTAACTCATTGACTGGCAGCCATTTTCAGAACAGAGAGTCCCATACTGCCAGTTTTTTTTAGCATTTTGACTGATTTTTCAAGAGCCACAGAATAGTTTGTGCTATGACTATGTAAACACCAAACACACAAAAAGAAAGAGTAGACTCTCTTCTTTCATCAGGAAAAAAAAGTGTTTCTACCTTATTCCGTTCTTCCTGGACTTGCGTTTCACCGGCGCCATGTTCTCTCATAGCGAACCGTTACCTTTTTCTTATTTGCCTACAGTCTATGCTCATCTCCCATCAAAAGTGGCACTGCCCCCTAGAGTGTCAATTTGTTACTACATACTCTGTCTAGAAGCCGAAATTTATGGACAAGCTTTAGCAGATCGTCCCCCAGACACTCTCGCTGAAAAACATAAAAGACGTCTATAGACGTCTTTGGCAGCCAATGAGTTGATTTCAGAAACCCAACAGTCCCCACCATGAGCAAGCACTAGGCGACACAGGCAAGGAAAAACTTCCTTTTAACAGGCAGAAACCTCGAGCAGAAACCTCGTCTATAGACGTCTTTGGCAGCCAATGAGTTAATGATCATAAACAACGATATAGATGCTTTTGATGAGTATGAGTATCGTATCCGGATACGTTTTAGTATCCATACTTATTTGAGTACCCCGATGTTTTTGCTAACCCCCCGCCCCCCCGCAGGACTCTGTGATGCTGAACGGCTTCGGCACGGTGGTGAACGCCCTGGGGAAGCGCGTGAAGCCCTACCTGCCCCAGATCTGCGGCACGGTGCTCTGGCGCCTCAACAACAAGTCGGCCAAAGTCCGGCAGCAGGCCGCAGACCTGATCTCACGCACCGCCGTGGTCATGAAGACCTGCCAGGAGGTGAGGGGGGGGGGGGGGTTGGAGAAGGGATGGAGATGGAGGGAATTGAGATGGAGAGATGGAAGGATGGATGGATGGTTAATGGAAGGATGGAGATGGGTGGAGGGATGATGGAGAACGAGGGATGATGGAGAACGAGGGATGATGGAGAACGAGGGATGGAGTTGGGTGGAGGGATGGAGTTGGATGGATGATGGAGAAGGATGGAGATGGATGGATGGATGGATGGAGAAGGAGGGATGGAGTTGAATGGATGGGTTGAGGGATGATGGAGATGGAGGGATTGAGATGGGTGGAAGTGGATGGAGGGATGGAGATGGATGCAAGGATGTAGCGGGATGGAGGGATTATGGAAGGATTGAGAAGGAGGGATGGAGATGGATAGAGAGAGGGATAGAGATGGAGGGATGATGAAGGATGGAGGGATGGAGATGGGGGGGTGGAGATGGATGGAAGGATTATGGAGGGTTGGAGATGCATGGAGGGATGATGGAGAAGGAGGGATTGAGAGGGATGGAGTTGGATGGAGAGGAATGGATGGGTTGAGGCATGAAGGACGAATGGAGATGGGTGGATGTGGATGGAGGGATGATGGAGATATGTGGAGGTGAATGGAGGGATGAGATGGATGGAAGGATGTAGCTGGATGGAGGGATTATGGAAGGATTGAGATGGAGGAATGATGAAGGAGGGATGGAGATGGGTGGAAGTGAATGGAGGGACTGAGATGGAGGGATGATGAAGGGATGGAGATGGATGGATGGATGGAGGGATGATGGAGAACGAGGGATGGAGATGGATGGGTGGATGGAGGGATGATGGAGATGGAGGGATGGAGTTGGGTGGAGGGATGATGGAGATGGGTGGAGATGGATGGAGGGATGATGGAGTTGGGTGGAGATGGATGGAGGGATGATGGAGATGGGTAGAGGGATGGATGATAGATGGATGGGGATGGATGGAGGGATGATGGAGATGGGTAGAGGGATGGATGATGGATGGATGATAGATGGATGGGGATGGATGGAGGGATCATGGAGATGGGTAGAGGGATGGATGGATGATGGATGGATGATGGATGGATGATGGATGGATGATGGATGGATGATGGATGGATGATAGATGGATGGGGATGGATGGAGGGATGATGGAGATGGGTAGAGGGATGGAGGGATGGATGATGGATGGATGATAGATGGATGGAGATGGATGGAGGGATGATGGAGATTGGTGGAGGGATGGATGGATGATTGATGGATGGACTCGGCAGATTATTACTGAGAGCCTGTAGGTTTAGAGCAGAGCAAACTCAGAGGACGTTAACACCCAGATGTCCCATGTGCACTCAAACGCACCACGTTGGTGTGAACTTCTCTGAGCTGGAGGCAGCCTCGGACTCCCATACGCACCAATCCGGTGTGTTTAGGGACCGGTCTGAGCTGGGAGCGTGGGGTCTGACAGAAGCTGGTGTTTGCGTCCACAGGAGAAGCTGATGGGTCACCTGGGGGTGGTCCTGTACGAGTACCTGGGAGAGGAATACCCCGAAGTGCTGGGCAGCATCCTGGGGGCCCTGAAGGCCATCGTCAACGTCATCGGTACGTCCAGACCATCCTCATTTGTTCCTAAAGAAACTCAGGATGCTGTACGGAGACCCAAAATGTCCACAGAGTAGATTTAATCGCCTCTTTCCACTTGATTTTCCCCTTTTTTTCCCAATATTTTCTGACCTTTTGAACACAACTATGAACAAAAACAGTCATATTGATCAATTAATACATTTTTCTTTCTTTATTAAAAAAAACAACAATCTAGTATGATAGATTTATAGTTTTTTTTATTTTTTTAAAGCTTTTTAAATCTCAGAAGCATTGAACAGTAAATATTTATGGCCTGGTTACAAAAACATGTTGAAAAATGATAGTTTATTATTATAGTTACATTTGACATGTAGCTTCAAAGAGGTGATGTTCAAGTGATTAAAAGGTACCAAAGATGCAGAAGGAATAAGATGCTAACATTAAATTTAACAATCATTAATGACTCACCCACCACAGTTTGACGCCAACGACTAAACCCACAATAATAATAAATTAATAAACCCAGAATTTTTTCCGTTTGAACTCTCATCTGAGCTGACTTGGCTCATTAATTGTGGGCGTTTCTTCAAATGAAACATTTCTGTCCTAGTGGTGAGGATGGGAAATTACAGAATTTGTGTCATTGCAGGTATGCACAAGATGACCCCGCCCATCAAAGACCTGCTTCCCCGTCTGACGCCCATCCTCAAAAACAGACACGAGAAGGTCCAGGAGAACTGCATCGACCTGGTGGGCAGGATCGCCGACAGGTGAGTGGAGCCGAGACATTAGGAACTGATCCTAGACGGACGTAAAGAAGAGGGTAGTGGTGGCAAATAAAGGGCTAAAGCTAGGTGAGCTAGC